AAAAGTAACCAAAATATCAAAATTCTGCGACACATCGAGCGGTCCATACGTCTTCCTACGCGGCTTTAGAGAAATAATTCTCAGAGGACCGAAAATTCTTTGTGAAAGCGGCGTTCACGATCTATGACGCACCTTTTCTCGCGCCAAGAGGACCCGAGAAGCTTCTTCTTCTTCTTCTTCGTAAAAGCAAACAACAGCGTGACTAGCAGGGGTCAACGTATCTTGGAGCGTTTTACTCTCTTCCAACAATATTTCCGACCAAAATCAATCTGTCTGCCGTGTTGCCATGTTACGAGGCGGCCAACACCTATGTATATACCCGCAAGAGAATGGAGAAACGTGGACACGAATTAACCGCATCGATGGAAACCAATAAATAAAACAATATTCTTCCATTGATTGATTTTTTTTTTCCAATCAAAATCAATCGTCCAATCAAGAATAAAACGTGATCATGAATATAAATTAACCACAGCTATTAATCGAGTCAAGAAGAGAAACGATATTTTTCTATAATTTTCTTTTTTTTTGATTGATTTTCTCAAATCAAAAGATATCGACATCTTTCTCGATACCACGAAATGTAATCCCTCGTCCATCATTGGACGTTTCAGGGTCGTCTTCCAGAAGTTCCAACGTTGGAAACAACGCAACCTGGCAATAATCTCGTCGGGTCCGCCATTCTCGTTATTTCACGCAACGGGTGGTACACCGACGAAACGGTAGAAGGAGAGAAAGAGAGGAGGAAGGAGAGGGGAGAGCCAGCGAGGAAAGAGAAAGGGAGGAAGGTCAAACGATGACCCACACACGAGAAGAAACCCGTGAACCAGTGTTCCATCGCATTCCGTGAATTGTCGAAATCGAAGGGGGCGTGGATGGTGCACGGTCCATCGTTAAATCACGTACACACATATTCCACCGAACACCACACCTCGCCCAATGCGAGTTTCAACAATATTTACACCGATCCGGATTTACGACGCATCAGTAATAAGCGTCTTATCGAGATCTTTCATCCTCCAAGCTTGTCTCACTCCTTCTTAAGTGCATGGGGGATGGAGAAAATCATTTTTAAATCGTGGAATTTTTAAAACGAACGAGATATATTAATTATTCGGAAGCGAAAAATTTGATCAAGTTTTAAGTTTTTCTAATCAAGCTAATACTTTAGTACTTCTGTGCGATTTATAATTAATTTTGAAATTATAAGAATAAAGAAATAATGACTAACCGGGGATAGAGCCTCCTGCATGTGCAGGGGTGCGTTGTCGGCCTCGTCGGTGCAAGTCGACATTCTCCCTCGCAATCTTCCACTTCTCTTTCCAGTTCGTCTAATCGTGGCGTTTCTTGTCGACGTGGTGTAACCCCACCGAGAGTCTACCACTCTTCTTCGATCTTGTTCGACTAATATCGTTCTAATATCGTCTACGTGATGAACGAACGGATTCTAGGCATAGATAATTGCGTATCACAGTCTTCTGCTGAGCGTTGTATGGCACTTGATTGAAACGTGTGGGAAGAGGAGCAGTCGGGATCTGAAAATGAACAAAAACGAGAAAAAAAAAAAAAATAACTCTTTAATTCCTCCAAGAACAAAAATTATTAATAGAAATAAAAAACGCAAGGAGACAAAAGCAACGTACAAAATTTTTTAATTTTTAATTTCATCCGAAGAAAATTGCTCTCGTATCATCGTTCGTGTAAAACTCTCAAAAGAATCAGAGAAGCTCTAGTTATTTTTCATTCTCACAAGGATACGAAATACAAGTTCGATAAGAGATAAAAAACTATCAAGAGTATTCTCTCGATCGAGTATCCGTTTCGAATGAGGATACGCGAGAGTAAAAATTAACAATTATTCGAGAGCAACTTTCACTCTCGATAAATATTCTTCGCTCGGAAATCTATTCGCATCCCGGCCCCCCCAAGAAGAGGATTAAATCTAATCTCGAATCCTACTACTCTTCGTCGTTCCATCGCGTTTACGATTACGCAACCGTGCAATCAGTGGGACCAGCTGGTTCGCCTCTCCTCCATTCATTTCAACCGGCTACAAGCACGTCAAACTGGAAACGGTTTCGCGGTCGCGGCTCTGATAGACAGGTGTAATAAACCGGCGTCGAAGACAGACGGTCGGGCGGCCAACAACAACCAATCAGGTGGACGAGAGTGAAAAGGCTCCCGTCTGGTCTGGAACACGTTCCTTTCGGGTAGAAGAGTCCCGTTCCCTAAACGTCGACCGCGAGAACAAGCCGAACTGGCGGTTAAACCACCACAACTACGACAACAACAATAACAATAACAACAACAATAACAGCAACAACAACACGATTGAATCGAGCGGTCGAACCGGCCTCTCGACTCGCTATCGAGAAGTAAGGAGAAGAAGAAGAGACAGAAAGAAGAAGAAGAAGAAGAAGAAGAAGTCGGTCAGAACAGGAAGCTGGAGCCGCATTTTTGCCCTGGCAAGTCAGGTTGTGACGTCCAGGCGGAAGAACGAGATCGGTCGGAATCAGGAAGGCCATCGGGGTAGGGCGAACGCGGTAGTAGCC